GACCTTAAACCTCATCCAGTGCCACCACTGCCATGGGCAGGGACACCTTCCACTGTCCCAGGCTGCTCCAAGCCCTGTCCAGCTGGCCTTGGACACTGCCAGGAATCCAGGGGCAGCCACAGATTCTGTGGGCAACCTGTGCCAGGGTCTCTCCAACATCACAGGGAAAAATTTCCTCCCAGTTTCTAGTGTAAGCCTACCTTCCTTCATTTTAAAGCTATTCTCCTCGTTCTGTCACTCCCTGTATGTGTAGATCATAAGTACAGTAAAAATGAGACGTGATATTTTAGTGAAACCAAAGCAGGCCAGGAAAGCCATGCAAGTTTCATTCCTTGCTGCCTCCAGGTAATGGTAGATTTTGGCATTCTGTAGGTGTTTGCAGCTCTCAGGTTGTGTGCATGGGCCAGACTGTGGTTTATGGGTGTCACCAGTAAATAAATGTTACTGCTGCTCAGCCATCCAAATACACAGGTGAACGATTTTGGTTTACCACATTCTCAAAAGAAGTGGAGGATTTCTTGCTTTTTCCAGTTGGTTTATATAAAAGACAAATTGTCATTTTCGCTTATGCAGTTCAGTAATGACAAATCTCAGAACTGGTACTTTTGGGTTGTCTAGAGACAAGTTAAATTCTGGTCAAACCTTAAGATGTGATTGTGTTTAAGGTACAGCTTTGGGGTTTCGGTGAGTCACTGTCATGAGTGGGAGGGCAGTGCAGGCTCTTTCAATCTGTGTGTGTGTATTTACAGCACATCCCCCCTTCAGGTAAGGATGGGAAGGAGAAGGGACAGAGGAGGAAAGGTAAAGGACTCTCAAAAGTCCTTTGGAAAATTTCATTTTATTGCAACGTGCAACATGGAAATTTTTTTGCCTGTGTGAGCCATCACAGCGAGTTTATGTGAAACCATCAAAGGTTTAAGTGTGTTAATGTCCACAGGTTGTACCTGGTGGGTTTTGCAGTGGGTTGAGTTATGAGACTCTGAACCACGTGTGCTCGGATAGGGTGGTGGAATAAATTTCTCATATGTGTGGGACTGTGACGGTTAAAACAATCATTACTGAAACCATATACCTTATTTCCTGTAACTAATAGTAAATCTCTACCTGTGGAATATATTAACAATTATTCCTTTGAGTTTGGATGGTTGCTCAGCTGTTTTGTTGGACAGATATTCAGACGTGGTCTGTAATTTATGTTGTCTGAGTACGTCAATGAACAGAGCTAATTATGGCTTCCTGATGTGAGCTGTACTGATGTTTGTGAAACCACACTTCTGCATGTAAGAGTAAACGTGTGTTCTTTAATAAATTGTGGAAAATGATGGGTTTTCTCTGCCTAGGTTGGTTAACGAAAATATCTAAGTTGGCATTCACCTAGGGTTTAAAAAGAAGGCATGGTTTTGTGGCTGGTTGAACAGTTAATTCTTCCATGCCTTTAAAGATAATTTTTATTTATTACTCTGTACAGTACTCAGACTTCCTTTTAAAAGGAAATTATTGGTTCAACCAGCAGTGGCCCTTTCAGAGACTCCATCACTTGCCATGTTTCAGTGTGGGGTAGAGCTGCAGCAAGTGACAAAAGTCCTGGCTTAATGTCACTGTGAGCGGCTGGCTTTGTGACAGCACCTAATTACCCACCTACACTTCTCAGTACTTCAATATACCTCTGTATTAGTCATGTCATTTGGACACTGTTGCCACTTGGAAGGATTTTTTTTTTTCAGATGTGTAATGTGTATCCTGAGGAATGTGCTGCTCTGTATGGTAAAGACAGAGTAGGAAATTTTCAAAGGAAAGTATCCTGCAGCCGTGTGGATGGGGTTGAGCTGTTTGAGGAACACCCAGGATTGCTGGCTCCAGAGAGGAAATACTGTAATGAGAAAGGGGAAGCAGTTCTGTTTTTCTAATATTTGTTGTTTTCTTTGAAATGGGGAAAAGAATACCTGGAGTGATTTATATTTAATTGAGGATTGCATTCCATCAGATACGGTGAATGTTCTCAGGCCATTTATCAGCTGTGTCTTTTGGAGACCTCTGAGGAGTTTATGGTACATATTTACCTTAACTTGGCTGGGTCAAGGGAAATAAAGCAAAAATAATAGCTGTTATTTTTGTATGTGAGCAAAACTGGAAGTCATGTGGGTGAAATATGAGCCAAACAACCATGTCCTACCTCCTCTGTGTCTTTCTAAGTACAAGAAATTATTAGTTATATGTAATATAATTTCCTTAGCATTATCAGTGTATCTTTTAAAAACAGAAGATTTATTGACTTTTTAGTTGCTTCATCGTAGTCAAGCCCTGAAGTGAATGTGACATATATTATACTGCCATTATCCTTTAGTAGTATCTTATGTAGGCAGCATCTTATTTAAAAAAAAAAAACAAACAACAAAAGAGAATAAAATAAACCATTTACTGCTTCTTACATAACATGGTAACATTTTTTCTGAATTGAATTTGTTGTATATTGCTGGTAATGTATAGAGATCACACAACAACAGAATCCTACAAGTGCTAGTGAGGATTTCAATAAGCAGTACCTACATTTTTTGGAGCGAGTGAGTTTTGTAAGAAAACCTTTGAGCTTTAGGTCGTCTCTGAAAAAAATGTGTCATTGCTGATTGTCACCCTCATGGGCTGCTGCCACAGGGTCTATGAGTGTTATTGTGAAGAATTACATATCAAGAGCTATTTTAACACCCACTCCATGACACAGCCACGATTCAACCCAGTTTCCCAATGCAAATAGCCAAAGGAGGTTTATTGTATAGTAATACTTCTGTATTGCAGTTTCCCTAATAGATCTAAAGGTAGGTAAATGCAGAATAAGTAACTAAATGTCAGGGTCTTTAAGCAGGAGGAAACACGAGGACTGAGCAATCTCTTACCGTCAGCACGTACAGTCATTCTCTGTTCCCGTGAGGGATGAACAGTGAAAACTGGTGCAAAATAAAACCAAAGAGCACAGTGTGGGTTCAGCTAAACCTGGTGATAAAACCAGTTTCAGAACTAGTCTGGTGAAGTGTGATCTGATCAGATGCTTCATGAACAAATTGCTTTATTACTGATACTGCTAATGATTTGTAAATTAGTTGCAAGCCTCCCCGAGTGACTGACTCAGTGGCATTTACCAACTCTTCACATACCCCCGTTTTTAGGGGCTGAATTTATAAAACACTTCCCTTTAGTCCCTTGAATTAAATTTTCGGTGGCATTTGATGACAAGCATAGCATGATTAATTACAAATTGTTCTTTAGGTGAATAGTGCAGATTCTAAACCACAGCTTGTGTTTTTATAGCAGTTATTACCCTGCAGACTCCAAAAGGGCTTTGGAGGAGAGATTATGATTTTGGTTACATCATTGTAAATTCAGAAAACGTCAGTGATCTCAAAAGTGTGATTTTCTTGAAATTAGGTCAGTGGAAAAGAGATCAGAAACTGCTTTGCTACCTGAAAAGAAGCAAGCTCCAAAATGGAGTGAAGTATCTACTTCCAGATGGCTTTCCTTTTGGCTTTGCAAAGAATGTATTTGTTAAAACAAATCATTTATTTGAAATATTTTGGAGAAGTGAATAATAGAGCAAATTATAACCTGAATCCGGGCTGGATTAAGACAATAAAGTTGTAGCATGGAATGTTTTTTCTCTTGCTGATTGTTCTGTAATGACCCAGAAGCTCTCCATCACTGTTTCATCTGGCACCAAGGTGGGCCAGCAACAAAAAACGACCTAAAGGTTTCTTATATTTTGTCTGCCAATTAAATTGATTCAGTGTTTGGATTTTTGTTGCTGGTTAACTGATCTTATGATAGCTACACTGCACTTAAAAGGCTTTTTGTTTGCTTTCTGCCCTCTGATTACAAAATACATAATATTTTCAACCTGATCTTGAATCGAACTAAATTTCTCAACTATGGTTGAGATGATGATTGAGATTTTCAGGAGAGTATGTAGTTCTCTGTTGAATTCTCACTTCTTGTCACCAGAGGTTTTGGTAAGATAAGGATTACAGTCTGAAACCACTAGAAATTGCAGGTCAGGAAATGGATGTAAGGTCTTGCAATGGACAGTGTCAAACACGAGTCTGGAGTAACTGAGTTTAGCAGGGAGTCCATCATTCTTAGGGAATGTTGAGAGGAAAACCATCAGAGAGGTGTTTGTGGATGGTGAACACCTTTCAGGGTTTTGCTTTCAGCTTTTGTGTGTGGTGGCTTTGCTCGAAGCATGTGAAAAGCAGCTTTTGAGTACCCCAAGGGTGTGACTCATGAGGGCGATGAGCAATAGTCACCGGGTTTTCATCTGTCCCCTCGCTTTGGGCAGCACGTTCTGCATCCTGTTTGTGAGCAGCTCTGTGGCTTTTTGTCTCAGAGCTTCCTTGAGCCTCCTCTAGTGTTCTCTTCCACCCACTTTGGAGTACTCAGAAGAAATAAAGTGGTTTATGTCTCCTTTTGTTGCTGGGGTTGTGATCCCAGCAATGCAGGAGGGTGTCCTGGGGGATGCCCCAACTGCATCTCCTCAAGTTGCTCCCTGCCTTTGTCTCCTACCCAAATCACTGGCTGAAGTGTATTTGAATTGCTCTTTAATTTTCTTTGCCACCAGGAAAAGGAGGGAAACCTGTATTAGAATGAATAAGCTACATCCTAAGTTATGGAATAATTGACCGTATCAGGGAGTTAGTGTGTAAAGCAAAGCTGTTTTTAAATATCGGATTGAAAACAAACCCATACATTGAAAATATGTCTTCCTAAGTCTTGCACATTTTCATTCATTTAAAATTTACAGGCAGTATCTTTGAAAGGTCAAAATAATCTAGTCATCATAATTGCTAAGTAGCCTTTTCTGAAGTAAACTCATTAATATAATACTAAGGATTATATTACAAGGCCTTGGAGTATATTTATTTCTTTTTCCAATATAATTTTCTTAAGTAGCAACAATAATAATAAAAAGAAAGATATGTTTCTAAAGTAAAATACTTCTCTATTTTCATTTTCAGGTTTCAGACAGTTCTGAAGTACTTGGAAAATGAGTGTCCTTCTCATTGAACCCTTTTATGGTGGCTCCCACAAACAGCTGATGGATCTTCTCCAGGAAGAGCTGCAAGAAGATTGTGTCCTCTGCACACTCCCAGCCAAGAAGTGGCATTGGAAGGCACGGACTTCTGCTCTTTATTTCATGCAAACAGTGCCAACAAGTTCGAATTACAGGTAACCAAGGAACTGAATAATTTCTAAACTCAAATCACACAGATGCCTTCAACCAGGTCTCTTCAACTTACTCCTCGTTTGTATGCAAGGGTGTATGTGGGAGCAATTAGGGACGTGCAGTGGGCATCACAAGTTTTTCTTCTTGGGCTATAACTGAGAAATTACATGTTTTATTTAGAATTTCCAGGACTGTTTTGTCTTGCATCTCCAGTCCGCGAGTCTCTCAGTATGTGGATACCTCATGTCTATACATGTATGTGTATTTCTTATTTGAAATTTATCATGTGAGCTCACTCATTCTCAAAGGTTTAAACTGTGCTTCACAGATTAGGCTGAGAGATGGCACAGATGTGAACACTGCAAGCTTCCTCACGTGCCCTCCCATGTATCTATTAGCAAGTCTGATTTATCAGTGTCCTGCTCAGGCTGACCTGCAGGATTAAGGGAGCAGATTTATCTTAATGATGGTCCGGTTCAGTAACTTGCCAGCAACTGTGGGTGTCAATTCTACGTTTATGTAAGTAGCAAATTTCCATCAGCTAGAACCTGGGCTGATAAAAACAGGCGATTTAGGTCGACAAGATAGCTATCACATAGTGAGAATCAGCCCCTCCAGAGCCAAGCTGTCTCTAAACCCAGCAGTTTTGCTTGGCCTACCTGATCAGATGAGATGTGGCAAGGTGATTGTCTGGAGCAGTGAGATAGAGCTTTGCTCACAGCATGCAGAACATTGTGTGGGGACTGTGCACCTTCATGGGGAGAGACTGTTCATGCACAGGGTTCTTTAGCACAAGCAGCTGCAGAATGAACTTCAGGAGGACTCTGAGCACACCTGAATGATGTGCCAGCGAGTCACAGTTCAGAACTGGGTCTGGTATTTTTTACTGTGAGTGAGTAGGTACTTCCTGAGGAAGGAATATAATTTTTCAAGAGTAGATTTGTGCTTAGAAGGCTGGATTTTCTCAGTGTTACCCAGGACAATGTCTAAGACATCTTGGAACACACATTGTGTAAATGTACACCTTTCCTGTGCCTGCTTTTGGCTCCCATTTAAAATAATCTCCCACCTCAAGCCAAATGTTATAATTAATTTTCCCCGTTTTGTCTTGTGCGAGGCATTTAGTGTTCGTTTTCTCTTGCTTTCTTTTTGCAACAGTTTTGTTTTGGAGGAGTGTACATGACAAACTGTTATGTAAATTTGTCTTGTATCACAACCACATCCTCCAACGCATCACAATGTTATCTGTGTTCCTTCAAGGTCAGCAGCCCAAGCTGTCCAGCACTAACTGCATTAAACTAATCAGACATCACTCATAGACATACACTTCATTAGTTTAACTTACAGTTACATTGACCTAAGATAACTTAACTCCAATTTGTCAAGTAACCCACATCTTGGGGAAAGGGGGAGGGAGCGCTGACAAAAAAAACAAAAAAAGCAAAATCCCACAAAAAAACCCAATAACCCAACAAAAAAATCTCAACCCAGCAGCCTGAAAACTCACTTGAAGTTAATAAACTTGCAATCTGTCATAGACTTATGTGCAAATACAACCTTTACTGACAGCAAATAAATCTGATCTAACCAATGGAGCATCTTAAGGAGAGGGAAGCGTTTTCTTTGCTGGTGCTGTTCGGGTTGGAGCAGAGGGAATCAAACAGTCAAAGTTGACAAAGATGCGATGGTTAAAATAGAATTTGTACCTTGTCCTCGCAGGCAGCATAAAATTTTAGGATCAAGGGCTGATATGGCTGGTGAGAGGAAAACTGATTAGAGGTACCTTCTACTTTACTTGCACATTTTTAATGCTTGTTTTGTAATTGAATGTTTTGATTATTTTATTAAATTGAAAGTATAAGTGCATCAGATTCAACCTAGTAAGGATGACTACTCTCATATTAGAAAACACATTGATTAAAATTAATTTTAATTCTGTTATTTCTAAGCTTTCTAATAACCACTGAAGATCAGCTTCCCAGGTAGCAGTTTGTAAAGACTTAAAAAAATTAAATTGCTAACTGGCAATACTGCATGTTTGGAATTGCACACTTAAATATTTCAACCTTCTTAGGAGGTCATGGAAAATACCAAATTTGCATTACTTATAATACTGATATTATTTACAGAAAAAAACCCCTTTCTTTTCCAATTGCTTTCCGTAAACATGACGTTTCATAAATACCTTGTTTTTATTTGTATGTTTAGTAGTGCAGAAAGGTCACGGATATTTCAAGTGCAAACACTTGTGATAACGGAGCTGCCTTACTAAATCTCTATGTTCAAACAGTACTTTATTTCAAGATCCCGGTGTGTGTGAGAAGTAATACCGATGCTGTTCAGTATGATGTTAGATGTATTTTAGAGAAGTAGTATGGATATGTTTACAGGACTGTATCCATATAAACTGATTTTTGGGAGCAGGAAGGTTTGTTTGTTTAAATGTGACACTCAGAGAGTTAAGGAGTAGTCTTAAAAAGTGATTTTGAAACAAAGGATGCAGTACAGAGCTGTAGATGTTAAATTCAGACACTGCAGTGAGCAGAGTTTCTGTGATGAACTTGCTAATTCTTTTATCGGAGAACAGACGGGTCCTCCCTTGAGCACAAACTAAAGTTGAGCTGGTAACGAACAGGACATTTAATGTTACTTTTGTGAACTGTATGACCGCTCTCTGGGTGAGCAGGAACATGATGTTCCCAGGAACATGGAGATCTCCCTGGGATTGTCACAGGGAGAAGGTGTCCTCACCCTCCACGGGGAGCACGCAGAGCTGTTACGGAAGATATTGGACCCTCAGTGTTTGATCTGCAGCACTGCCTGGATTTATTAATTCCCATGCAAAATCTGTGCTGCATTTCTCCAGAAAAGTTTTGCTTTTCTGTTTTCTTGGCTTTGTCGAGCAATGTGTTAAACCAGCTCATGTTTTCTGTCATCTCCTGAGAGAAGCATGGGAACCCTGAGGAATGGGAAGCCCAAGCATCCAGAATCCCTTCAACTCAGAAGGCCAGAAGGAGGATTTAAAGGTGGATCACTTGCCTAGAGATCTTGGAATGATCACACAGATTGATGTGCAGCAGCCACAGACTGAATTTTAATTGCTCAGAGTCACAGATGATTTTTCCTTAATTGGAAAGAAGGTGTTTGGATGTTGCATTGGTGCAAGGAGTTTCATTCCTGTAGTGGCAGTTTCCAAATCACAGCATTTGAAGTGCACTGAAAAAGGGAGGAATTACTGTCTGCTTTCTCTAGACAAGGTTTTCAACCATCTGAGAGTTTTGTCAGCAGTTGGTGGGATATTATCTTCATTCCATGGATTTGGAAGGTCCAGCAGAGCCTCCTCAGGCTGCTGGCACTCTGCAGATTGGCTGTGCTCACTGCTTTGTCTCCCAACTTCTTCAGACAGCTTCAGCTTCTTGATAAATGTGGGTGTCTGATCTTTAGCCTAAAGTTGTTTTCCATAGCACACAGCAACTATTCTGTAATTCTAGAAAGCATGTAAAAAAAGATTTTTTTTTAGCCTTTTTAAAATTCTTAATTCAGTGAAAGTTCTCAAATATGAAAATGCTGTTGCACAATTTAATGAGAAACAAAAATGCTTTTCTTTTTCCTGTAATTATTTTCTTTATTATAGTGAGCAATCTATTAAATTACAGGTAGCAAAATACTGGTATGACACATTAGATGAAAGGAGTTTATATTTTAGGAGCTATCCTCTACAGAAAGTAATTTAATCTCCAAAAAGTTAGTAGCATAGGACTGTAAAACAGAATGACTAAATTCAGTGTAGCTTCCAGTGTGTTTTAATAGCACTGCTATATTATTTTAAATATATAAATATATATATATATATAAATATTATGTATAACATTCAGTATTGCCCCCCAGGTAGCTGTTCATATGAATAAAGATTTTATTTGTAACAGATTCTAGCCCTGAAATACCCCTAGGGTAAATGTTAGCATATATATACCCCTTGATATCTGACAACTATATTTTAAAGACAAATTCTGTGCTTTTTACGTTTTACAAAAGAGAAAACAAATTATTGTTTTCAATTAATAGAGCTCTGGAAAAAAAAACAAACCTGGGGGTGGTGTTCAGCAAAGGAGAGTCTTATTTCAACAGTATATAATGTAGATGTGGTTATTTCTTGATTTTTTTTTAATATTCTATTAAATCTGCTAGATTTAAGACTGTTTTAGAGCTGATGCTTTTGTTCTATTCTATAAGCAGAAAATGCATTATTATAGAGTGAATTCTTTACTAAATGGTGAGCTGTGTTCCCTAAATATCTTAAAAAAAGCAACCTTTAAAATTCTTTTTCCAGTGAGTAGTTCAATCCTGCTGAAAACATAACACTGTGGGAATGTGTGACCATTTACAAGGTTGAGGATTTATCTGTTTTCTAGATATTTTGTTTTCAGAAATGTCCCTGCATGCCCTGGAGAAGGTGTTTGGGGATGTAACTCAAAGCAGGGCAGGGCAAATTTCATTAAATCTGAATACATAGATACCCATCTGAATGTTCCCATTTGTGCTGGAAACATTCCTGCCTGTTTACATCTTTCTGTAAAATACTGGAAATGTTTATATAATCTTTGTAGGAACTGCAGTAATTTGTCCTGCATTAGAGGCTGTCCTAGAATTTGACCCTCATAATGTTCAGGTAAGGAATAGATAAATTGTATGTATGAATAGTACATTAGTTAAAAGAAGGTATTTTATGGTGTTTGCTTCTATATATAGGTGAATAAACATAAGCCTCATTGATAGCATTAACTGGTAAGAGTGTGTATTTTGATGTTACTGCTCAGATTCACTGCATTTGAAGATGGGACGTATCTCATCTCTTTGGAGTCACTGAATAATTTTCTGCCCAGAGGTTGTCTTGGTTTCACCCCATGTTTTTGTTATTCTTTGTGTTTTAACTGCAGTTTTGTGTGGGGCACAGTGGAATGTGTTCCTGGACAGGAAGGGAATGTGCTCCTAGAGATCCCTT